ATATTCTCCATAATGCCTGAGCTATTGGAAGAAAAGACTGTTTCGGAAGCAATAATGAATTTGAAATTGAACTGTTGAGTCAACACTAGAACACTCGAGATAATCAAGAGGATGTAAGCCTTTCTGTTGGTGCTAAAATCACAGACCACTAATCATATAAATGTGTAGAGATAACCAAATTCAATCCACTTCACCATTTTAAACATAATTCTAAATCATTGCTTTGCATTCAATAAACCATTGTTAAATAAACCATCAATAAACCATTTGATCTCTGACTCAATGATATTTAGATAAGTAGGCACCTAAATGCCATTGAGTGAGAGAAATCAAAGACACTTAGAGTGATATTAGTTCCCCCAAATTTCTCCTGCCCTCTGGCCTGTGTTTCCCATGATGTAAATAACTCTTTGAAGTTAGAAAATGATGAAATTAGAAAATGATTGACACGATGCTTGGCCCACAGTAGGTATATAGTAAACACATGGTGGGGCAGGTTGGAGAGAATTTCTGCCTAGTGAAAAGGAGGATGAATTTGGGGTCATCGGGGAAGCGCAATCTTGGTTGGCACACAGCCACGGGGCAGATGGAGAACAGGAGATATGGTGGAGAGATAGAACAAGGCTCAGCCCAAGCATAAAGAGCAGGATCTAAGCTAGCCACAGATCAGGGCACAGAAATTCTGTAAAGTTAATGAGTAGATTTTCTTTTTTTTTTTTTTTTTTTTTTTTTTATTTTTTTTTTTATTTTTTATAGAGGCATGCTTTATTTATTTTGTTTGCTGGTTTGTTTGTTTGTTTTGTTTATACATGCACTGGGTACAGTCAGAAGCGCGGGAGGGCGAGAGAATTCACCAGAGCCAGAGCGGGGAGCAGAGCAGGCAGAAGGACCGAAGTACACTGCTGAGGGGAGCAGCGGGCGGCAGGAGAGGTCTGCGCGCCATGTGGGACCCTCCTCTGGTGGCCGGGGAGCAGCCGGGGATCGAACCGGCGCCGCAGAGGCCGCGCGCAGCTTCGCAACCCAGCGCTCAACTGCTGCGCCACCGGGGAGGCCCAATGAGTAGATTTTCTATCTATGGTTTACCTTACTAGGAATACATGTAAAGGTATTTGATTTTAATTTTTTTGTTTAAGTAGAGATTTCCCCTTTAAATTTATGTTTAGAGGGAAGAGAACAAATACAGCTATTTCGCATTAAAAAAAATGGCTAAGACAAGAAACTTCACTTTCCAGATCACTGTGTTCTTCCAGATATTTTGTTGCCTTACATTTTAAATATTTTTATTTCCATTCACTCTGTACTTAATTTTTAACAAATTTATTGACGTATATATTCACATATAATTCACATATCACAAATTTACCTATTTTATGTGTGCCATTAAATGGTTTCTACTATGTTCACAGACTTCTATAACTTTCACTACTATCTAGTTTAAGAACATTTTTATAAGCCTCAAAAGAAACACTTACCCATGAGCAGGTAATACACATTCTTCCCTCCTTTTCAGTCCTACACCCACTAACCTACTTTCTCTATGGATTTTCTATTCTTGGCATTGCTAATAAATGGAATTAAATGTGTTCTCTTATGTGTGACTTTTTTTTTCACTTAGCATAATGTTTTGCAGATCATCCCTATTGTTGCATCTATCAGTATTCCTTTTTATTGCTGAATAAGATTTCACTATTGGTATATGCCACATTTTGTTTCCATTCATCCATTCATCAGTTTATGGACATTTGAGTTCTTTCCACCTTGTGCTATTATGAAAAATGTTGCTATGGATACTTGTGTACAAGTCTTTTGCAGGCATATATTTTCATTTCTTAGGGTATATATATATATATATATATATACCTAAGAGTAAAATTGTGGAATCGTTTGATTATATATTCAACATTTTACATACAAGCATATTCCATACTTAACATTTTGAGGATCTAGCTGTTTTCCAAAGTGTGCCAAACATTCTTGAGGTATGAAAAATAAAGCATCAATCCAAAGGTTCTTGTTTGTTAGGGACAGTGAAATAGTTACAAAAAATAAAAAAACAACTAAAACAGTCTATGACAGTAACCTCAAAGGACTAAACATTAATTTGAAAGTTAAATACAGATATTGCATTGAAATTTCTTGGAATTTTGTGATTCAAAAACCTTATGAGTGACATCAAGTGAACCCCAAATATAAGTCACTGTTCCTTGGCTTGGTGATCAACGTTTGGCGTATTTCTGATGACCCATTTTTGGTTACAGGCACTTGTACTGAAATTCATTTTTCCATGTTATTAACATTGGTGACCATCACCTTTCAAAAAGTTTTCAGTTTTAGGGATTTTTTTGCTGCATCAGAACATTTTTATCATATATTGCTAAATTATTTCAGGGCAGATATTTCATCTCGCTCACTGCTATATCTCCTGTGATTAATCTTAAGAATAGAGAGGTAACTATATTTGTTGAATTGAAACAAATTGCAGTTCCTCAAAAGTCTAAAAGTTAATCTTTAATTTGCTATGTACAAACTAAAACCAACATTCTATGTAAACAAAATGCAACGTATGAAACCATTGTCTGGCATGTGAGAAGATGTGTATTGAGTGTGTTTCTGAATTATGCAGTTTAACTGCATTTACAAAAGAATTATAAGCAATAAGCATATTGGAAAATACATGATAAATATTTTATGTCAGCAGTCTCTTTCCCTGGAGGACAAACTTAAAGTACTGTTTTTATAACAGTCTAACAAAAATTACAAAGGAGAGTTTAGAAAGAACACACTTTTGCAAACAGGTTTCATTCTTCCTGAAAAGATTTTAAAATCATGTATTCCTGCAGTGGGATTTAGTGGTCCTATGCTAAGCTCAGAAGGGAAAAGAGTTTATCTGTCAGAACTACTTGGAATAAAGGCAGTCATCTTGTAAAAAGGCATGTCACATAGAGTGACAAATGTCAGGTATAGTTTATAAAAAATTCAGTACTATCAACATCTGATTGTTACTTTTCAAAAATTCCTCAAAGCATAGAGTTTAATTTTTATAAGTGGGATAGAGATACAATTTTTCCTAAAATACTAATAATTTGACAACTGACTGCGAAAAGAAGCTAACAATCACATCTGAGAATAAAAAAGAAAATAAGCCAATATACACTTTTTCCTAATTGGTGAGAAACACACTGACAGGTAGATTTCCTTCATCAATACAAGGCAATTTAACCCCAAATAAAGCAAAATAAAAAATATCAAAGATTAGATTTATATCCTAGAAAGTCAAAAAAATAAAATCAATATGAAAGAATAAAATTCTTGAAAATTTTTATGAATTGGGAATCTTTCATATCTGTTAATAAGAAATTTTGCAGTTTATGATAAACTAGATTTTTGTTCATGCTTCAAAGCACTAGAGCTATCTATGTTTTATATTAAGTAAAACCAGAAGCAGCGTTTGGTGTAAAATTTTCTGTAATCCTTGTTGAAATTAGCAATTTAAATGTGTTGAATGAGTTTACAGTGCACAAATCACAAAGGTTTGAGTTCTTATATAGTTGTTTCAAAAATGTATCAAAAGGTCATAGGTTAATAATAATGAATGTATGTTACATTATTATTATTAAAATATGCGATCTTTGATAATAATTTATTTGTTTTACAAATGCATTGGGAGGTTAAAATTTTTCTATTCATCTTTGACAGACCATGAAATCCAATATTGCTCACCATGACCAATCCATGAAATTTGTCAACTTTGTTCCTGATTTTCACAGGGCCTTCTTCTTAGATGAAATGACCCATTGAACTAAGAGCATAGCAGTTTTTTTTCATCTATGGTAAATCAGTTTAGTTTACTTGGATTTATTATGGGCTTTAGACATTGAGCTTTTTATGATTATGAATCATTATGCATATAATCCCAAACTTATGGCAAATTATCTCACTATTTCTTCTCCTTCTAAAGAATTCTTCGTTTCTAAAATTAGTTCTCAAGTAGTGTTGCCAGAAGAAACAATCTGTAAACAATGCATGTGTTTTTGAAAGGCAAAGAGTGGGTGAAAATTATAGGGAAATTAAAATCAAAGTTGTTATTACACTTGGAATTTCTAACACAAAAGTCTCAAAATTTACTAAAAATCAAGATTTATATATTGCCCTTACCAGAATTTTAAAGAAAGGAATACTTTACCAAATAAATCATAAAAAGTAGAAATAGGTATAATTTTCACTACCAAAGAAACAAAGAATATGCAATTATCCAGTCTTTTAAGATAAAGTCATTATTTTGGAGTGGGTTTAAACAAAATTGTATTAGTGTTTTATTTTAAGATCTACTACAAGACTTATATAACATTACAAATTTGAATCAAATAAACCAGAAAACTTGTTCTGAATGTTTAATTTTCTTAAGTGTTATTTAGCTAAGTAAGCTATTTCAACATTTTCAAAATTTAATTGCTTATTCTTATTTACTTGTCATACTGCTTCAAACACTAAAATTTAATACTAACATTGCAAATCTATGACAGATTAGCTGACAATGTAAAACCACCAGGTCTCTTCTAGATTTGGGCATATTTAGAAAAAAAAATAATTAATATTTGATTCAAGCAAATCACTATATAAAATTAAAAGCTAAAATAATATTTTGACACAAGTTAGGTAAGATTTTCTTTTTCATAGATTATCAAACTATAATGGAAACAATCAACCTATTAACATAATTTGAGCATTTAAACAACTTAAACAGTGAAATTCAAAATCACCTAGTTTTGGGGAATAACTGAGTAAGATTGACCAGTAGAAATATGGTATTAGGACAAAATTCTTTGAGAATGAAGAAACCCCTGTTGGTTAGTATTAGTTTTCTAAAATGAAACAATTCACAATATCGGAAATGCACTTCAAAAAAATTTATGCTTGCTATTTCATACAATTCAATAGGAAGTAAGAAAATAAATCACATTTCATATATCATAATAGGTAAAAAAAAATTTGATACTTACTGATATAATTCAGTTAATGGTGAAGTCAAAATGACTAATGTTGTAAACAGATTATTACAATGGGTGTGAATTTTAAAAATTTTATCATCTATATACTCATGAGGATTTAAAAGTTTCTGTACGGATGTACATATTGACCATAACATGTTCTCAGTGCATATTAAAATTGTTGTGACATCAAGTCTATTGGAAAGAAAAAGAAAATCATGTTAAACAAAATTGGTTTTCTGCTTGGTATGTACACTAGCAGCCGTATCTCTTATACTGGGCATTTATGATATTAGAAATATTTGGCTGGCTAACAGAGCTTCAGAGATCAAAGACATATAGAAAGCATCAAAGAGAGCTTTTGAGTCTCCAGGTGTAGATGACCTACTATGCAATTATCTTTAGGAATGATAAGATCTATAATAGTGAAATTTTTAAGAGTGTATTTTAAAAAAATGTTTATTTTTGCATTATTAGGATGTTTTGCATTGTTAGAGTACAGTTCAGGAAGCTCAAGAGACTTTCCTTGAATGTACATTCAGCAAAGAGAAGTCAGATTGAAAAAAAAATCTGCTATTATCTACATATATATGATAGGTCAATATTTGATAGTTGAACAATTCTTATCCAAGAACAATCTGAGAAAAGAAAGATATTGGGTCAGGTAACACGTTACCCCAGCAAGTGGGAGGGGAAAAAAAGGACACCAGAAGCACAAATGGAGATGCCTAGAGTTTCAGAAAATTTCTAATAGTAAATAAATGTGTGGCAACATTGCTGCATTATTTGTCTTAATCTTAAATTCACTTCTTTGAATCTTTCTTGCAATAATAGGGATCCTAAATCTGTTTAATGATTATTTTGACATGATGAAATTTTTAGACCTCAGTTAATTTCCTCTTTACTTTTTTCCCTTTAAATTCAGTGTTGAGAAAATAGAAGATCTCTATTTTGAAGTGATAAGCAGACAAATTTAAGAATGTTTTAAAATGATATTTTAGACTCAAATTTATTATATACATGATAAATTTATTCATATATTAGTAATATGATATATATAGATCTCTATATAGATTTGTTATATGACAGTAAGAGGCTACTAAAATACTAAAACATCAATAATAGTCTTTAGGAAAAATTTAATTGTACCTTGCATCCACTTACTCTAATTGCTAATTAAACAATTACAAATTCAAGATACACATCTACACACACGTCTAATTTCTTTTCCACAATAATGGTTGTTTAGGATTAACAAATCCAAAAAATATTCATTTTTTTATTGATAAAAACTAGAAAAAATACTTGCTTGCATGGTATTCTTCTGTAACCACACAGAAAATAAAAACCAGAAGTCTCCATAGTAAAGTTAATTAGTTAATAATACTATCTATTTCATGAACTAATAGCAAATCCAATTTCATAAAGACTTGCCACCTCATTGTGAAAAGTGATTTATACTACATTAGAAAAAGAATGAAGGTATCTTTGCTCTCAAAAGGAATTTTCCATCTATTTTTCATTTTTGGAAAAAAAAAAAAGCTTGGTCAGTAATTCAAAACAGCCTGTGCAAAATACCATATTTATGAAACACTATAGCAGGACCTAAATGCCCTTCAAATACAGCACGTTTTACAAAAACATGATCAGGAAATGATTCCCACTACTGAGGGAAAAAAAAATGAAAGACTCAGCTGTCTAGTTTCTTCCTGAAATATATATGAAAAAATAAATTTTATACCTAAAAGACAGTTTTTAATCATGTTAGTCAGAATATTCATAAAACAAACCCTTCTCTTCCTATGCACCATTTTTGTTATGTAAACACATTTTGTAATATTTGTTGCCTTGATAACTCTAATAGCATTGGACTATAACTCAGTCTTTTATATTCAGTGATCGTTGCTCCTCATCTTGATTTCACATTTTGTTGAACTGGCTTTTAGTATACATCACGAAGGAGGGGAAATAAAAAGTGAAAAGAATTAACACGACATGAAGAATAAAAATATTTACACAAAAGAGTTCTGTAGTAAAGATTAACTATACTATTAGAATCTTTAAAAAAATGAAACTAAAATTTCCCAGTTTTTTAGAATCTCAATGTCAAATTGACTACTCAATCACAGCACTGCTGCCTTTTTCTCCATTTGAGAACCTTAATTTTCTCTCTATATCTTATTCATTAACTTATAGTTATAGTATACACATATGTGTACATTTATATCACATATATACATATATATATAATTTAGATTGAAATACATCTTGAATCACTTTTGAGAAACAAATGGGCTCTATATACAATTTTAAAAAGAAATGAGAGTGAAGTTATAGTGATTCAACTTCCACATTTCCATTTAACTGTGTCGGGAGATTGGATATGATTTTTTTGCAGGTGTTAGAAACATGTTAAGTATAAAAGACTTATGTCGTAAGATTCAGAATTACATTCTCCTTTATACCAACTAATGAAAAGTTTTTTTTGAAAAGCACTGGTTTTCACAATTTCAATTACCTTATCTGTGGTGTTCTCTTATAACTTGGATGGGCACGAGCATATCTGGAGGCCAGGAGACCCAAAGATTTCTCCAGCACTTCTGCTACAATATCTTGGGCTAATTTAGGGGGCAGAATAGTCCAGAGATCATGATGAAGAGCCCACAAAAAATAATGCCACATCTGGAGCGAGAAGGAACATCTTTCCCCCTGGCAAAACCACCACACAGTTAAACAATAGAATCACATCTTCCAAAATGTCAGTTTACTTCCTGTGAACCTAATTAGTTCAGGCTGAAAGGAAAGAGCTGAAGAGTTTGACACATAGATGACCAAGAAAGATTTTTGACAAGATGTAAAACATCCTTATTGACATAGGAACATATGTTTCATTTCAATTATGAGACTAGATATTCTTGTGCAAATCCATACCAGAAGAATTTAACCTAGAAAATCCTGGATTTACCTACTCCTGGCCTGGAATTTAAAATTTAAACAATTGGCTTTCTAGTTGTTAAACAAGTCATGCTAGTTACTGAGCTGATTCTTTTAAAATTAAAATTTAATGATTTAAATTAAGTATGTATATATTTTTAAAACTATTATTAGCATTATTGAGATTATTTTATAAATCTTTCAGATTTCATGTTATAATGAAATGACAAGTGAAAAGTACATACAAGCTTATCAACATGCATGGCATCCAGGGGGATGGGTAACCATTGAAAGTTATTACATTATTTCATTGAGAATGCTTTAATAACAAGAGAAACAGATACTACAATAGTCTTATTTTACAACATTTTGTAAAGCTTAGGCAGATGTTACCACTTCTTAGTATTTTTAGTTTTTCATACTTCCATAGGGGCCAGATTCTCATTCCTTTCTCATTCTCTTTTTCATGCCACATTTTCCCCAAGACCACAGAGGGAGTACCAACAGCTACCAAGGCCAAGGGGAACAGGCAGAAATGAGAGGAAGACTCAAGTGATTTAGAAGCATTAATTAGTTAACAAGCTTTCAGGGAGGGATGTTCACTTTGACTTCATTTTCTTCAAACCAGATCAAAAGTTTATTTTAAACAGAGTAAAATGTATTCTTCAAGCATAATCTTGATTATATTACTATATCAAAACTTAAACTAGTAAAACTTCCCATGTCATCTCTAAGTAACCCTCTTTGACTTAAAAGTGATTGCTCATACTTGTATTTTTCTAGCAAGCATCATCTGAAAATATCAGTTATTCTTTTATACCAAAAGCTGATCATTTCTTATGCAGAAACTCCCAACAATATTTTCCTTACATATTATTCTTTTGGTAATTTGTTTGATTACTAAATCTTTTGTAGTCACTATAATAATAAATTCTAATTATTATCTATTGACTTTCAAATGGAATTTATAAATGAGTAGAATTGTTACTCTCATGTGTGGAATGTGGTCATCAAAATACCAAAGTCACATTCAAGCCGGAGGGGACTTCAACCACTGGCTTCTGACTCACCAACTAGATGTTTGTCAAAACTGATTTTTAAAAATTACAAAATAATGCAAAAGTAGCAAAATTATACTTCCTTATCTTTATGTTTTCTGTGATTAAAAATGATTTTTAAAAATTCCTAAATAAAAAAGGAATTTTAAAGTTTTATTTTCTCTACTTTCTGTTGTATATGTTAATTAAAGCAAAACTGACCCAGCTCATATAAAGACTAGTTGGAATGATTTACACTAACTTTCTGCATGACAACGCATAGGTGCTTAGAATAAGAGATCAATAGAATTTCTCAGATTTTTATTTTTTTTTAAAAGATTGATTGATTGATTTATTGATAGAAGAACTGGGGTATAGGCCAAAGATACTGGGGGTTTGTGGGGGGGGTGAGAGGATACACCAGACACAGAGTCAGGAGCAGAACATGTGGATCTACTGAAATACACTGCTGAAGGAAGCAGTGGGCGAAACTGGAGAGGTCTGCTATGCCATGTGGGTTAGGTCCCTGGCCGGGGATCTAACTGAGGACACAGCTGTGATAGCATGATAATGCTGAGACCTAAGCCCTACACCACCAGGGAGCCCCCTCTCATATTTTTAAAATGTAAAGAAAAACAACTTGTTACCTTTTAGGAATTAAATGAGAAAATAGCAATCACTTTAGGTATACAAATTTCTTCTCCTAAAAGTGAAAAATACTTATTTTTAAGACTTGCTAACCTGTTAACTTTCTAGTTTACTTAAAAACATTCCAAACTTGTCATTGTTCTTATAATTCTCTTTAAACTGTGTATAATCAGTTTGCAAGCGTTTTTTATTAAACTAAATGTGATTCATTGAATTTTTCTGATCTGTTTCCCTATTTGTTGTCATTTCAAAAGTATTCTGCTAGTAAACATCTGTTATTTTTGTAGACCCACTATAATGTAAACAAATGTGAGCTTTTATTTATTGTTTGATTGTATATCAGGAAATAAGCAGCCTGGCTTTATAACATAAGCCACTCAATATTATATTTGAGCAGACAATTCTTTATTCTTTGACTATTGGAAAACATAAGTTGCTATAATTGATTAGATTCCAGCTATACCCAACACTTTAAGTGTACAATCTGAGCACCCATTGTGCCTTTTGAGCAGCACCCCATCAGGAGAGATAGCAAACTCTTTGATTCCCTCAACCTGAGAGCTTAGAAATATATCTGGGGGCTCATTTGATATCACAAAACATGAGCAAATGTTGCTCCATATCTTGTAATATTTTTCACTATTTCTTTACTAAACTTGTACATGGCGATAAGCTTCCCGATAGCTCTATTCTGCCTTAGCCTCCAATTGGGCATATTTCCTCTCCTTCCCCCCCAAACAGCCTTTTCAAAAACATGCTAGTCCTATTTGGAATAATAGGGAGAAGAGGAGAAAGGGGTGTGGTAAACGAGATAAAACCAGATCAGGTACTCCACTTGTCAAAACAGTTTAAAATATGTGCTATTTTTAGAAATTTCTTATTTTTGGTAGCTATAAAAGCAGTATCACTTTATTTTTCTGAGCATAAATAACAACTACTAACTCTGCAATTAAATCGTAACTACTGACCATGTAAGTATATGGAAGCTACAGTACCATCTAATCACAGGGTAACTATCTCGTTATTTCTGTCTTTGAAGTTAAAGCCTTGTCATAAGATCTAAGAACTGTGTGTTACATGGTAATTTGTTGTTTTTTTTTTTAAATACTCGGTAACTTCAATAACAGGTTCTCAATGCATCCACTTATTATTTATACTGTATAACTCTCCTACCTCCCAATTTGCATAGGAGAAAACATAATACCCCTATGTTGGACATATAGTGAGATGATACCGGTTTTTCAATGAAAACATCATATAAAATTGCTCATTAGTATACTGACACATTGAAATAGTTTGAAACATGAGATGGATTCATTTTCAACTTCTCTGTTTACCTTAAGGCAAATAGCAAGCTGTGCTGTTGCCAGGAGAGGGGAGGCCAATACTTTCACTCTTATCTCAGGCTACCAGCTGCACTCTACCACTTTCTCTCCAGTCTGCTTGCTGCAGTTTGAAGTATGTCAGGTTTGGAAAACCCTATATGGATGCTCTTGCAAAAAGAAAAACTATCTGGGAAGAGCCTCTAAAGGAGAGATGAAATGGCCTTAGAAAAAGTGGAAAGTCCTTTAAAAGAGCTTCGTATTATCTTCTCCTCTTTGTTGTGGCAACATTTATTATGATGATAACTCAGGCTTAAATGAAGCCATAGGAACCATCAGTGTCAGGCAGGTGAGAAGAATGACTCCATTGAATAAAACTTCACTGCTATTCTTAAAATTCCATGGTAATTAGGAAAATCAAGAAAAACAAAAATCATACACTTCAATCTGGAGGGAAGGGCAAATTGGAAAAGCTGATGAATCTAGACTTGACTAAGGATTCTTGAAAAACTCTGATTATCTTTGATTAAGATGTTATTAATGTTTCAACCTACCCTGGAATCAACTTCAAGGAATTTCAAATATTGTGGTTTACGTATAATCAATGGGATTTAGAGCAAGGGAAATTAATGAAGGCTGCTGATGAATAATTTTCATTGATCTGGATTTGGGTGCACTTGGAATCATTACGTTTTATTTAATTCAATAGAAATTTGGGATTTCAGAATATGGGCTAAATGAAAATAGGTAAGCTATAAATGATCAGATGGGTCTGAAAGTGCACTTATAAAGAATATACAACGAGAAGGAAAATAAGCATAAAAGATAAAGAGGCTTAATAAAAATATTGATCAAACACAGGTGGAAATACATAATAAAAAAACAAGGATACCTATAACTAGTCTCTTTGTAAAAAAAATTACAAGGTTGCAGCATTTTGGCATTGCTATCTCTTTGAGTTTTCATTGTATCTTATTATATTCCAGCTTATTATATAGCACTGTAACATTGCAGCTCAAATTAAGTTATTTTTACTTTCAAGCAGAAGGAGAGTTCTGATGTCTAATTTTTTCAGATTTTTAAAAACAGTGTTTTTTCTAAGTATAAGTTCAATATTTAAAAAATATTATACTAACAGCCTTCATGTGTTAGTAATGCCAAGCTCATGTTTCTAATTAGCCAGAAAGCAGGTAGGCAGTAAAACATATTTGTGTAAAAAGGAGGGATAGTAAACTTAACTTCACACCTCATAAAAAGCTTTGTAGTCATCCCAGTGGTGGCTCTCAGCATCCTGTAAAATGCTTGTAGCACAAACTCTGACGCAGTAGTCCGTAACCTGAAACTGTAGAGTGTTGATGAATTCCTGATATTGTTGGACAGGCACCAGGAATATGGGTCTGTTCGGAGGGAATGATCAAAGAGACAGAGATTTAAGGTCTGTGCAGTAGGCGGTAACAATCTCCAGTACTACAAATGGTTCTGATTATTAGATATCAATCATTCATTTCCTCTTAATGCTGAAGTCTGCATCCACATTCACTTTCCCAAATGAAAAAAAAAAAAAAAAAAGCTGGTCTTTGTTTGGCAAGTCCTTTGAAAACATACATCTGCTGTTCCACAAATATGCACTTCAACTTGAGACAAACTGCATTGTCAATACATCATTCAAAAATAAAAGTATTCTTTGTAAACCTGTTATTAGAGATCAGTGCATTATTTAGGCATTAGGTTATCATTATTACAGAGAACAACAAGCATTTGTCAGAACCAACTTTTATAAAGCTATCACATGTCCCACAAAGACACTCTTCTTCTTTTTAAAATTATAATTTTGTAGATGTCAATTATCTCATAAACTGTTTTAAAATATTCTGCAGAGACTAAAGTGATCTCTGGCACATTTGTTTATGTGATTCAAGTATGAATCACAACATCTGACTGCCTTCAAGAATTAAAGAAATATCATCATAGTAGCTCACATCAAGCCAAATTTATTTGACTTTAATCTTCAGATATTGGCATTCCACTTTTCTTATGATTTCTCTCATAATGAAGGGACTGCAAAGACTGAATTAGGAATGCAGAAAAGATTCTTGGACTCACACTGGATTGCCAAGTCCACATGTTTCCTCTGAGAGGAGTTGTACTATTTTCTAGAGAGTATGAGGGAACCATGTGAAAATTTCGGCAATCTTTTAATCTCTATTTAGAAAACATGTAGTCTCTTTAGATTAATAATGCATGAGAATTAAGACTGTCAAATGCTTTCTATTCATATATTATGAATAGTTCATTACTAAATGGATGCTCTGAAATATGTTTACATTGGTGATCATTAGAATAGCCTGAAATGTACTTCTTTATGTCAGCTCCTAACAGCCTACTAGCTTAGAAACAAAAGAGGGAAGTACATATTTCACCACCATGTGTATGTAGGACAAAAACAAGCTTATTTTTTTCTTTTCAATATGGTTGGTCCTTTTTTAAATATGTATATTTTTAAAGATTTATTTATTTATACAAGAATGGCTACAGGCCAGAGGTGCGCAAGGGTAAGAGAATTCACCAGAGACAGAGCAGGGAGCAAAACAGGCAGACTGACTGAAACACACAGCTGAGTGGAGCAGCGGGCGAGACAGGAGAGATCTGCCACACCATGTGGGTAGCTCCCTGGCTGGCTGGGATCGAACCCATGCTGCAGAGGCTCGGTCCAATGTGCCTTACAAAATGGAATAGTCATGTCATAACCACATGCACAAAATTGTTGCTAAAGATGAAAATATAGAAAATGATTGGGTCTTTTAATTGGGCCTTTAAAGAAAATACCTATCTTTCTTACTATCCGTCTGGCTTTATATCCCATGCTGCACTTTTTTGACATTTTTTAGTCAAGACAAATGAAAATCATTCACCTTGTTAATTATTAATTCCTCCTCAAATATTACCATTAAAATTTCACTTCTGGGATACCCAAAGATTACATGTTACTTTAAATAAGACCATCACCTTAATTTAAATAACACTTACTTCTTAGTAGTTTCTTTCATCAAATTATCATATTGAGTGAAATGCTGGAAGACATACACTGCCGTGGCGAGCAGAGTGTGCACATTTGTCAGGGATGCTCTGGAAGGAAACTCCTTGCCTCTCTCCTGCAGTCTTACCAAGACAGCTGTTGCCACTTTACAACAGGCCTCCACAAAGTTCGCTCTAATTTCCTGAAAAGAATCATCTCTGCATGCCAGAGCCAGTGGAAGCATTGTGTCAAGTTTTTCCATGATGTCAGAACAAAACTGGGGAGAAATAAATGTAGCACTGAGTTATTTGTACTCTGACAGCAGCGTGTAATTTATGTACAGAGGAGCCAAATTCCTAAATGATGAATTTGGCATCCAACATAAATATAATGATGCGACTTTGTAATAATCGATTTCTCAGTTGTAGTGAGTTAAATGTGAGTTAAATGTTTTATGTCAAATAAGAAAACACCAAGTGATACTTCTCTATATATAACTTTCAGGCTTCATGCTTACCAAACACATTATGAAACACTCAAGAAGCAGTTCTACATGACAATACTTCTATCTGTAGTTAACAGAACTCAGAAAATATGTATCCTTGACATTAATAAAATTGCATTATTTTTCAACCTATTCCATTTTCTTTGGCTAAGTTTTCACACCATATTTTTTATTAATCACCCCACAGAAATAAGGTTATATCAACTTAATATAAATAATGTAGAAACACTAGGAGCAATTTGATGTAGCATCTCCTAACTATTATGTGTCTATTTTTTTAAGAATTATTTATTTATGCATACAAAAGCTGGGGTGCAGGCCAGAGGTGCAGGGGGTAAGAGGATTCACCAGAGACAGAGTGGGGAGCAGAACAGGCAGATTGACAGAAATATACTGCTGAGGGGAACAGCAGGTGGGACAGGAGAGGTCTGCTGCACCACGTGGTTCAGCTCCCTGGCCGGGGAACTATCTCATGCTGCAGTGGCTGCCCATAGCTTCATAGTGTTAAGACTTAACCCCTTGTGCCAGCAGGGAGGCCCTTGAGTCTACTTCTTAATGGCAAAGGAGGTATGGTAGATGGGAAGGCAGAACTTGCTTCCATTCCAGTTCAGCAATGTTCCCAAGGTATGTTCTGGAGCCTCAGAGTGGCAGTAGCAGAAAAATGAGGCCCTCTTTAAGGACTCACTGTTAAATGAGTTAATGTAATGATGTATAATCATGGGCTCCTGAACTCACTGCGGACTTAATATTGAGTGTAGCTGTATTTCTATATTTCCATAATTACATCCTATTTTCTCAGTATGTTCTGCGACTCTCAAAACACATGTGAAGATGTAAAACTAATGAAATGAAATATTCATTAAGCAGTAAATAAAGATGTAAATGTTAGATACCCATTGCAGGATTCCACAGGATTGCCTAATAAAATAAAAGACACCCAGTAAATTTGAATTTCAGATAAACAATGGATAATGGTTCAAAATGTTTTATGGGTTGACTTGTGTTCCCTCCACCCCCAGTTCATACAATGAAATCTTAACCCCCAGCACATCATAATGGGATGGTATTTGGAAACCGGGCCTATAAAAAGATAAATCAATTAAAATGAGGTGATAGGAGTGAGACAATGTGACAGACCCACACTACATATGTCTAGATTTGCCTGGACACACGAACAGAAGGAAGACCACATGAAACACATGGAGAAGATGACTATCTGCAAGGAGAAACCTCAGAAGAAATCAACCCTGCTGACATCCTGTCTTAGACATCTAGCTCCGGAAGCGAGAAATTTCATTTCTCTAGTTTAAGCCTCCATGTCCTCCACCCTTAAAAGTTGCCCAGACCGGGGCCTCCCCAGTGGCCCAGCGGTTGAGCGCTGGGTTGCAAAGCAGCCCGCAGCCTCTACAGTACCGGTTTGATCCCCGGCTGCTCCCCGGCCACCGGAGGAGGGTCCCACATGGCGCGCAGACCTCTCCTGCCGCCCGCTGCTCCCCTCAGCAGTGTACTTTGGTCCTTCTGCCTGTTCTGCTCCCCGCTCTGGCTCTGGTGAATTCTCTCACCCTCCGGAGCTTCTGACTGTACCCAGTGCTTGTATAAATAAATAAATAAATCTAAAAAAAAAAAAAAGTTGCCCAGACCAATATGAAATAGTAACTCCTTCAACCTTTAAATTTCTCCTACAGTCATTCACACATATAATTCAAATTCAAACAATTTTCCTAGTTCTTCATACATCATAGAAGCTTCCTTTTCAGTTGCCTCAGACTCACAGTGTAACAAGTTGATGAGAAGTTTAAGTCTTTTTTGCTAGCAGTGTCCCATGGATACCAGTCAAGTATCAAGTTTTTGCCAAGAGACTGAACTATTTTTCTATAGCTTCCTTTTGCAGTGCTTTAGAGTTTTGAAACACCCCCCCCCCACACACACACACAGAGACTCATTAGGAGGTCTACACTTCGAAAGAATTTCATTTGATACTTGCCTTAGCAATTTTCTTTGATCGATCCTCAGCAGGAACCACACAGCTATCCTTCCAAACTTGCTGAACATTTACAAGTTTTATAACATAGCTCTCAGTTGAAGATCTTTCATTCTCTTCTTGTTGGAGAACTTTTGTAGAAAAATCTTCAATTGTTGTTATTATACAATGTGCCATAGGAAGAGACACTTCTTTAAATGCACTTCTCCAGCCAAAATGTACTAAGGTAGCCTGAAATAGAAATTTATATGAAGTGATATTAAACTTAACTCAGCAACAAGTGTTTCTATTGTTAGAGATATAAAATTATTATATTCGTTCAGGAGGTATAATATAGGTATTTTTGATAAACTGTGAAAACCATTCTTATAACCTGAAAAATATTACCTAGTGAGTAAAATGATATACAAAAACATGTGCATTCTTTACACACAGTAATACACTGACATTTCATTTTAATTCATCAGTGAATGTAATCAAAAGCTTTTTTCCAAATTTAATCTCTTAAATATAGTTCAATAAAACCATCTTTATGAGAGCTGAAAGTTACACTTACTATTTATCATATAAAGCAATCTTTAAATTTGATATATTTAATAAAGTCTAAATTAGATTTTTATAGTCTTTTTTACAGTTTATTGTTAACAAGTATTGCAACATAAGACAGCATTTAATATTCAATCTTTTATTTCTTTTCACGCTTAGAAATCCAACAAGCCAAAATATAGAAATAAGAAATAAATTCTCAGAGAAAACACACCATTGCATCTTTCTAGATTTTAACTTCCTTGGAATTTTATTTAGTTTCTCCACCGACAGAATGGAAAGCAGCACTACTTTTGTTCCAGGAAATGAAGAATTGTGATCTGCACTCATAGGGGAAGGTGGGAGAAGTTGAGGTGAACGTTTGTGTTCTTATTTTTCCTTTTTTTTTTTTTTTTTTTGGTCTTGGACACACTTGGCAATATGTTTATGAACATATATTTTTCCACGTTTTTAGTCTCTAAAGTACTAAAAACATTATGGGTAGTAAGCCAAAACTGCATTTAGCTTGTGGGTATCTTGTTTACAATGGTAATCTATCTACTCCAAATCAGAAGACCCTATGCTTAATATCCCGGATTGAATTAGTCATTTTTCTAGATCTCAGTGTTTTTTCTGGGAGGTAGGCTTAGGAAAATAAAAGAGCTGAATTGGAGGATTTTTATGGCCTATTTCAGTCTAAAATTTTTGAGATTATGATCATTAACTTAGTTTTCTTACATGCACATCCAAATCAACATTGGATGCCAATGCTTCTTGTATATACTGTATCCGTAAAAAGGCTAATTCATCGTCTAGAGCTAAAATTCTGATTCCATAACTCTAATAAGAATAACTTTCATTCTCATTACACATACAATTAAGTTGTAGTTGAACTTTACATTCTAGAGGGCCTAAGAACACATCTTTCATTTTATATTTACACAGAAGATAATCAATAATGGAACCTATTCTGTTCATATAATTGCCTTTCCTATATAAGTGAAATGTTAGAAGAGTCATGGGCATAGTCCTGTGCTAGAACTGTATTTCCTTGGCACATATTTAGGATAGAAACATAAAAAGGAAACTTTCCATAAAAATTAAAAATAACAACATAAAAACTGGTTTTTGTTCTCCTCACCAGTTCATGTCTATTCATTAAAATCATTCACTTATTCATGTATTTATTCAAAGAAATTTGTTCTGGTGAAAATTGCCATTAATTGTATACCGTGACAATTTCAATATATGTGTGTGTCAAAGATGATGACATTTGACCATGGTCATTTGTATGTAATTGCAATATCTTGTTGACCCATCTGAATTCTCTTTTTAAAAAGAGAATAAAAAAACTGAGAATATTAGTAGCTACTTTTAAAAGGAAACTGAGGAGGACCTCCCTCGTGGCACAAGGGGTTAAGATGCAACCTATGAAGCTGTCTGCACTGTGGCACGTGTTCAATCCACACAGGTCCTGTCTTATCCGCTGCTCCCCTCAGCAGTGTATATCGGTCAGTCTGCCTGCTCTGCTCCCACTCTCTGGTGAGTCTTCTCACCCCCCCGCACCGATGGCCTGTACCCCAGTTCTTGTATGCATAAATGAAATCTTTAAAAATAAAAACTAGGCAAATGCTGGGATCTCCCCCAAAGAGGCCGTTCAAACTATTCTTTCCTCTTTCATTTCTTTTTAATCTCCATTTTCTCATTTTTCCAAAATTACCTAGGGTTCAAATTCTGAAATCATAGACCCTGATGTGAAACACTCAGCTTTCTACTTCTCTCATGGGACAGGTTTTACAAGAGAGCAGTGTCTCCACTAGATTGAATTTTTGTTAAAAGCATACAAGCCAATTTTTAGCCAGGAATTATCTTTTCAGTGGTAAAGGGTAAAACTCAAGACATTGTATTCATGACAGATTCACAAATGTGTGATGATATTATTACTTATGAATGAAAATATTACCACTTTGTTTTTGCTCATTTCTTTTACTGGTAGCAATTGCTCTGAAGGAATATTGGTTTCATTTATTCTAGGTTTCTCCATTACAACTTCCCTGTTGGATGTCTCCCAAATTTCTGTACAATAGAAAATAAAACAAACATATATTAAGAAAACTAACCATATTAGATGTGGTTAATAAATTCAAGTTAAAATTAATTATGTAGAAAAGGTCTATTTACAGCAAATACCCAGACCACATACCAACATGTAAAAAATGTAGTCAACAAGATGTGGGGTGCTGCTACCATTACAATAAAGACGGGGTCAAAATACATCAAGTCTTTTCCCATACATTCATCTTGATTGGAATTTATATGCTATTTATATTCACATTTGATGGAAAGCATATGTAACTTCAAACTACAGACCCTTCTGTCAATAATTCATTTTCATGTTGATCATATAGGATATGTTGACTAGAAAGAAAATACTAATTTCCTTGTTCATTTAAAAAGTTAAATTCTAAGGTACTGCATTTAAAAATTGGTGGTGTTCTTTAGCACATTTATTCTCCTTTTTCTGAAATAAGAACAAAATGTACACAGATAAACATGAGACTATCAAGGAAAGTACTCTTAATAATTCATTTGAAAAACACAAACACTGAGATAGGAAATTCTTTCTAGCTCCTAAAATGAAAATATTTCTTCAACTCTTTTCCATAGGGAAAAAAATAACCTAAAAATATCTAATAAATAAATGTGCCAAAAAGATATTTCCAACTTTCTATTAGGGTTCTATTAACAAGTTTAATTTGATGTAAATGAGTTCTCTTTTTTGCTTGTTTGTTTATATTTGATATATAATGATAAATTTCATACTATGATGTACATTTTCTTTTAAGATCCTTAAGAAATAGTTTTTCCTTATGTCCTGGGCATAGTGAATTTCAAAAGTTTACTGGTTTTTCTGACAAATATAATCATTCAGAAATTACATTTTTTAATTTATTCTAAATGTAGTTCTATGAGCTTAATCATGAATGATTCCTAAGTAATACAGTTCACAGAAATAAAAGTATTTTGGTCTGATGTTAAAGCTAATTTCAGCATTCTTATAAATAAAGTATCTAGAGAGGCAAATATTCCTTTTGGTAGCTGATATAAACATCCTTTTGGGAAATTCTTATCAGAATTTATCTTCTTGAGGAATAGTTTTCACTAACTTAAGTGTCTCTTAATCATTTTGGATTTACGAACACTTCTGAGAAATTGATTAAAGTGACAGAACACTCCTTCCAAAATGCACAATATTAATGCACACACACACGATCAGGGATTCCTATACCCTTTGTAAAGTTCATTTATGAACCCCAAGGGCCCGTGGACTACAGCTTAAGAATCCTGCTTTATTTCTCAGCACACATCATAACATAAAGAAGGTTTTAGACTCAGTGTTATACCATTTAACCTAAAATACTTTCTCTATAACTTGCCTTTTATTATGTCTTTTTAAGAAGATGGTGTTATAAATAAGGGTCAGTTCTAACATTGACATAAAATCCAGATTGAGTAAAGATCTTTAAATAAAGAAAATGAAACTATAAGTTTATTAAAAGAAAATATGAATTTTTTTTCAAAACATCTGTCTCTAGTTTTCAGAAGGACAGACAGCTAACAGTCAAAATAGATATGACAAACTGGCTTGACACTGTCTGAAAATGATGAAATCTTTTTAAAAATTCAAAAGAATTTAATTTTTGGAGCAGTTTAGGTTTTCAAGAATTTGAACAAAAAGTATAGAGAATTTCAATATACTACCTTTCCCCCTGCCCTCATTTTTTATAATTATTAATATCTTGCATTAGTGTGGAACATTTCTTACCATTGGTGAAACAGTAGTGATAGGTTATTATTAACCAAAGTCGGTTGTTTAAATTAGGATCCATTCTTTGTGTTATGCCATTCTATAGGTTTTGCCAAATAAATAATGCTTTACATCCACTATTACTATATTTCACAGAAATATTTTACTGCTCTAAAAATCCACCCCCTCCTCCTCTACCCTGTCCACTAGGTAACAACTGATCTTTTTACCGTCTCTATACTTTCACTTTTTCCAGAATGTCATATAGGTGAAATCATATAGTCAGTAGCCATTTCAGATTGGCCTCTTTCCCTTAGCAATATCCACTTAAAATATGCATTTAAATTCCCTTCATGTCTTTTCATGACTTGATGCCTCATGTTTCTTTATCACTGAAAAATATTCCATTGTATTGATGCACCACAGTTTGTTTATCCACTCACCTACAGTAGGGTATCTTGGTTGCTTCCAAATGTTGGAAATTATGAACATACCTGATTTGTAAACTCTTGTGTGCAGGTGCTTATGTGGACATAAAATTTCAACTTATGTCAGGAAAATACCTAGGAGCACAATTACTAGATAAGATGCTATCAAATCACCTATCAAATTTCTATTTTAATTTACATTCTTATCATCAGTGAATGAGAGTTCCTGTTGCACCACATGATTGCCTGAATTTGGCACTCTTACCAGGTGCTTCAGATTTTAGCCATTTTAATAGGTATGTCATCAACTTGTTTTAATTTGCATTTCCCTGCTGACATAAGATGTTGAGCATCTTTTCATATGCTTATTTGCCATCTGTATATCTTCCTTAGTAAGGCACTTGTTCAGCTCTTGCGTCCATTTTTTTCACAGAACTTTCTATTTTCTTGTTGAATTTTAAGAGTTCTTTGCACATTTTTGAATAGAAGACCTTTATCACATATGTATTTTATAAATATGACTTGTCTTTTCCTCCTTTTAATAACCAGAACTTTTTTATTTTTGTTTTTTTATTTTTTAGAGTAAGAAAAAGTTTATTGAGGGAAAAAAGGAACAGAAATCAATAACCAGAACTCTTTTACTTGCTATTCCACTTTACAAACTTACTGATCAGATACACATACACACTTAAACATACACACTTATAAGTGAATTTTCTGTATCATCTTTTTGTAGTTAAAGAGATGAAGAAAAAAGAACATTAATGGCCATCAATGTATAGCTGGGGGCCTCCGTGGTGGTGCAGGGTTGAAAGACACAGTGTTATCAAGTTACCACCAGCCACTGCATTGAGTTCTATCTCCAGCCAGGGAACCAACCTATATGGTGTAGCAGACCTCTCCTGTCTCACCCGCTGCTCCCCTCAGCAGTGTATTTCAGTAGATCTGCCTGTTCTGCTCCCCACTCTGTCTCTGGTGAATCCTCTCCCACTGCAAGTTTGGCATACACCCCAGATCTTGTATGCATGAATTAAAAAAAATTTAAATGATTAAAAAACATATATAGCTGTTTAAACTATAGCACATGCACGAATGGAAAGTTATTCATTTCTTAGGAAGAATAAGGTGTTTCTACATAATTGTTAATAAAAAAGGACAGTATGACAAGATTTCATATTATTTTGACATGGGAATATATAGAGAGGTAGTCACCTTTGAAAAGAGAAACTAGACAGTTTGCGTGGAAAAAGCTTAATTTTCACCTTATCCTTTTTCTCCTCCTTAAATTTTTACTGTCTACATAAACTACTATTCAAAAAAATTTTAATGAGGAAAAAATAATAAGATCAAATTACTTATGGGATGAGGGTTCAAACTTGGGTTCTTTTTTTTTTAAAGATTTATTATTTATGCATACAAGAACTGTGGTATAAGCCAGAGGTGTGGGGGGTGAGAGGATTCTCCAGAGAAAGTGGGAAATAGAACAAGCAGATCTACTGAAATACACTGCTGAGGGGAGCAGAAGAGGTCTGCTGTACCAGGTGGGTTAGCTCCCTGGCCAGTAGGGAGATCAAACTTGTGCTGCAGTGGCTGGTGATAGCTTGATAGTGCTGTCTTTAACCCCTGTGCCACCCAAACTGGGATTCTTAATATCACTTTACTTTTCTACAGGTATTTCATAAAATTAGTTAATTTAAAAGTTATTTACCCTGGAAAGATAACACTAGTTTGATATAAGCTTTGTAGATATATTTCTAGAAATAATTATTCACCATTTTGTAGCTATAGTTAGACTTATTAAAAAAAAAAAAGCTAATTGTCTTACATGTCTCATACTATTCTGAAATATATTACGTATTTTCTCAAAGATAAGCTTCCCAAGACTTCTCTCGCTGGAGAGCAATTTTATGGCAAAATAAAAAAGATGAATTATCAAATAATTATGATAACCTTTAAGATATACTCCCCCCACAAATTTTTAAGACATTAAATGTAATCATAATCTTGTACAGAGAAGCAAAAAGGATCATTTTAAGGCAGGTAGTAACACTGAATTTAGGCTAATAAATCTCATGGTTTTAACAAATTGTGTCATTTTTGCATTTGTTTGGAATTCAAAATGGTCATTTTAAAAATTCAGCATTGTAAAACTTCATGAGCTCTGTGAACATTTGACAAATTATTTCACCTATTTTAAAATATATTGAAAATTCTATACAATTATTAGCATTGTCTAGAGAAGGTAGTCCATTTTGGGCTCATCACTCTAAAATATAGTTACTAGCATGCAATCAACAGTGGTTTCTTTAAGAAAACACCCAGATAAAGGACCTCAGTAGAGTGCAGAGAGTCACAGGAATGCCAGCTGCTGAACAGCCTCCCCCTACAGAGTTCGCTGTGGTTCATTTTATACTTCTGGTTAGTTTCCACACTGCCGCTTTCTTTCATAGAGTAGAGGTTGGCAGTACTTCCCTGTGACATCCACTTTCACACCCAAATTGGTCTTCATAGGCTCCCATTGTGTGCACTACAAAGCAACTTGCCTTGTTGGCAGCTCTAAGTGGGAACTACAAGTCTTTCTTTTCTTCACTGTTCTTTTCTGGCTCATAAGCAACCTCCCACCAAAAGCTGACTCTGTAGAAGAGACGACATCCAAGAGATAATACTATGAAAAAGTATGAAGAGAAGCCCAGGTGGCCACCTTGCAAATTTCCAATGTGGAAGCCTTCGACCTCTCTGCCCAAGAAACAGCTAAAGTCCTAGTGTAATGAGCTTTACAAACCCTAGGAGCCTCTTTACCTTAACTATATACGCCTCCCTAATACAATCCCTTAACCATCCAGCCAAGGAACTCTTAGAAGCCATTTGACCCCTCTTAAGACCCCCTAAGAGTACAAACAATCTTTCAGAAGATCTGAAATCTTTGATTCTTCTGAGACAAACCCTAAGTGTTCTTCTTACATCCAATTGAAGCAGCCATTGCTCTTTGTCATTGCTAGGGCTAAAGAAAAATGAGGGCCAAGAAACCTCCTGGTTTAGATAAATCTCAGATGCCACCTTTGGAAAAATTGAGGAACTGCCCAAAGAACAACTTTATTCTGAAGGGGCTTTAAAAATGCCCCATAAATCAAACCCAAAGCTACTCCATGAGATATGATCAACTAAAAGAAATATAGTAAGGCATCATACCAATCAAATAACATCCTATCATTTTCTGAAATGGCTAAAACAGAAAACCATCAAATCATGACCAAACAAAAGCAAATAAAATCAATGACTAAATATATGTACTTTCTCAGAAAAAAATATTTCTTGTGTCTCTACAAAATGTATTGCGTCACATTCAAATTAGTAAAAGTACTACCAATTTGGCTAAGTCTACAATATAGTAGTAAACATCAAAGTAAAAAGCAAAGTATTTGGTTAATCATCTTTATATTTTCTCTATGTGATGTTAAGCACCTGGATATTTTTAAAACATCTGGACGATGAAAAAAAAACCCTTACTTTCATCACATTGTTTTGGTTACTTAGACATAGTAGACAACTCTTTCCAAGATCTTTATTAGCAAAATATGCTCCAATCAAAAGTAATACACAGGAAACCAAATGACTTGATCTTCCCCCACCTCCACCCTATTCTCTCTCAAAAGATTTCTAAGTGAAACATTAACTATCAGGATAATTTAAGATACATTTGGTTTTTTAATCATCCATTTCAAGGAATCTTTCCCTTTCTGATTTAAGAAACCAATGTTTTTGATAAGAATTGATTAATTTGGCTACACTAAATAAAATACTAAAGATTTTTTCTTGATAATTTCCCTCAACATCATTCCTTTCAGAGAGCCAATCATATAAAGCTATGTCAACTTAAATCAACCTTAGTTTTTTACCAAAAACATATGAATTTCAACAATGAATAATACATATGCCACAAGGGGATGTTCTAAAACTCAGATATTTCCTATAACTATCTTTAGAAATTCTTCCACATACTATGTTTGAAAATCCACAAATGTGTTCTTATAATACATTATATGATAGTGAAGTTACTTTTATCCAACGTTGCTCATATGATACCTAATTTAGGATAAGACATCTTTTATGGCATAATTTATGTATTTTCTCTGTTGATTTGTTCAATTATGGTGACTATAGCTCTCAAAATATAGTTTGCGAACACTTGATCTTAATCTGGCATAACTGGATCTGCTCTTTCTTTTTCTACCCTCCACCCCGAAATCAATCTGGCAAAACTTTGCTTCAATTCTTGACCATTTAAGTTATAAGTCTTAACAACACCTCTCTAACACAATTTTGAATTTATGCTGCACTTAAGAAGACTAAATTTTTCAGAATTGACTTAATTTTTCAATTGGCTTGCCTCAGACAAATACAAGATGAGTCCGAGGGTAGGTTTAGATGTTTTGGAGTTCACTGTTTTGTGATTCACACCTCAAAAAATACCTATGCTACAGATGTGGATAAGGGATGCCAGGGATGATGGATGAGTACAAATGCCAAGTGTCAAGTGCTTGAGGCATCAACATGTCAATCAAAAGTGAGGCAGTAATATCTCTATTCAGCTCTCTTTGACTCATTCAGTCTCATCTAGAAGACCCATTAGTGCCCACATCATCTCCTAATTAAATCTATTTTTCATTCTCTTTTAATTTATATTTTGTCCAATATTTTTATTGTTTTCCTATTAGTTTTTTCCTATTAGTTTTTATTGTTTTTCTATTAGAATCTATAACTAACCTATGTTTCTCTTCAAATTATCTCTAAATTTGGAAAAATGATCTACATTAGTTATTTTCAATAGTGCTAAATAAACTTCACCTGAAACAGAAGTTCCAGTAAGTCATGCTTACTACATAGAACGAACTTCAACCCTATAATTTTTCTAATAGTTTTCATCCTGGCAAGGTAAATAAATCAATATACAAGTAGACATATTAAACTAAATGTAAATCATGTGATTCCCTACTAAAACATCAGGCTTGGGAGTTGAAATTTCATATTGGTAGTTAATCACTTGTGTCCCTCATTTGTTTTGCGAAAGCAGTCATGATGTTTATTCTCTTAAAACAGTATCATGTAAAAGAGAAATTTGTATAATCGTTCACTCTGAAATAGAAGAAAATATTTTAAACTATAGATATTATAATAGGCAACATAACAATCATGTCTTTGAATTCCATCTGTAATGTTAGAAACATTTCAACACATGATTTGGTTAAAACTAAACTTAAAACTACGTATGATATAATTACTATCTTGAGAAGTCACTTTTATTGCTTATGATATGCTAAACGTTCTTTTAAATACTTTACATATACTAAATCATTTAATTCTCACAATCATATACAAACTATTGGAATTAAAGTGTTTAACCTTAAAAAAGGAAATAAAACAAGAGAATTAATCTGGCCCTATACCATAATTTTAAAGATGAGAAAACTGAGATCTAAAGAAGTTAGTATTTTGTTCAAGGTCTTTAGGCTGCTAGTTAGCAGAAGAGGTGTTGCCAGATCTTCCAATCTGCTTGCTCATTTGACTTGAAAAAGAATATCTGACTTTAGTTCAACACAATTATCTAGAATTTATTTACAATGTTTTGTTAGCTAGAAAAAAATAATGGAATTTACCATGTATAAAGAAAAGAAATATAATTCCAGTATGACTCACTGTTTACTTAAAGAACTCTATCATCTTTTTTTTTTTTTTTTTTAAGTTAATGGTATAGATTCAGAGAGGTTTGAAATAAATCCAGAAAAATTATGGTCTAATATAAAAGAACTTGTTACCTGAAGCACTTCTGGGTATCTTGAATGATAAAAACATGTCTTCAAACAATTCTTGGACATCCTTTTCCATCTTCCAAAGGGATTTTACAAGCTGTGATAAGAATTTGAGTTCATCTAAAGAGAGGAAGAAATGTTTTCCTTTCTGTAGACATTCAGGAGTAACTGAAAAGAGAAAATCAATACTATTTTATATTTTATTTGTTTTCTCAGTAAATATTAGATCTATGTGTTCCATAAAAACCAAGAGCCTCAATATATAACTATATTTGTTCTTTAAAACACATGTCTAAAACTTCTCAGGGAGTCTTCTGGGAAGCTGGAGGCAAGCCTTTTGTTTGATGCAAATATAACAAATAATTATATTGACTCTCAGAGTTATAAATAGGAATGTTATTTATTGTTGTAAAATCATATATTTTGCAATCTTTTATTTTTAAAGTCTCCCATAACTTGCCCCACATTGACATTTTAATTGGCTAGCAAATACCTGAGATTTAAGCATCTGAAGAATAAGGTTGACATTATCAAATAGCACTTTTGACCACGTTTTAAAGGATTTAAAGAATCTTTCTTTATATTGCCACTTCTTAAAATATATATTTAAGAAGTGTTTTAAGCTTAATAATAAAGTCAGCACCGAGTGGCTGGAGAAAAATAATACTGAAGAGTACTATGTATATCTTTATAACTGGATAAAGATTATCTTTATCACATGGATTTAGAAGGAAGAGTCAAGAATTATAACACTGACGACCAAAAATGTCAAGGTGTCTTTGTGGATAGAGAACTATCCACCAACTTAAAATTTTATTTCTAAATTGATAATAACTGCACATAAACAACCATAGTCACATTGACCATTATTCCATAGGCATACAGAGAACATAAGAATGTACTGGCAGAATATAACTAAGATTTTTCCAGGAAAACCATACCCCCAAATGAAAAGAGAAAAAACAGTCCCATTTACTTGTTGCTTGAGTCTAATTTGGCCTGTTTGATTTCATTCAAGTTTTGCTCATGTAAAAGGGGTTGAGAGGGGAGGTCAATTTAATCTTCCAAATCTTAAAGATGTTCCTTTTGGACCTAAAATGTTTATAAACTAAATACTCAAAGAATTTAAGAACACTTCCTAATTCTTTATGAGGAAATGTCACTCTATAACTTGACATATAATTTAAATAATACTTAATACTTAAATAATAATTTCAATATGTTAAATAATACTAAATATGTTAAATAATAATTTGACATATTTAAAAATTTTAAAATAACATTAATAATTTAACATATTTCAGAAGGCTTTGGTAGCTCAATTATAACTTCTACAAAGTTAGCAAAAAAACACTCCCTCTCCCACAATTCTTAAGAATCAAAGCAGTATGATTTAAGAGTACTATTTGTTTAAAAATTATATAGAGTCTGGAGATTCTACATGAAAATCTTTAACTTCATAACCTGGATTTAGAAGGGTCTTCTATTCCAGAAATGTAACAGAATTAAAAGGTGAATCTATTTCCATTCAATGAATCTTTATAGCTCAATAATGAAAGAGAACAGAATAATATGTGTGACCTAAATCTAATCATTTTTGTCCCAAAGAAGCTGTGATTATGGTAGAGGTCCATTAATTAGTAGTCTTTATTACCTGTCACTATTAGCTCAGTATTCTCCAAAGAGTACTGAGGTTCTGAATCTATGGGGAAAATAATTCTGTGATAAGTTTATTTTGTGAATCTCCAATTAAAGCATAATTAAACATAAAAGATGAAATAACATTTTCTGAATTAATTTGACTTATTTTCCCCACAATGTCTTACAGGGCTGGTGTTTAATCATCACACCTTAGCTCATGATTTCTATTTGCCTTAACACTTCCATTTTCTGTCCCTTAGACACTTCCCATTATCCAAATTAGGAAAAGTTCCTCCAGTAGAAATTCCCATTCCTTTTGACTTCATTAAATTAATCTCTTTTCTTCTCTTTTCAAGATTCTGTTTGCCACTCTCCTCCAAGCCAACTCTCCAGAAAACTTTATCTAGATACAATCAGAGTTTCTCTGGTTCTCCTTTACTCTTTCAGTCAATCTGGCTTTTATCTGATTTAATTTTTTATTTGATCTCAATGGGACTATCTTCCTACAAGAAATTTGAACATATATGTATTTATATACAGGCAACAATACTTAGCTGGTCATCAAACATTGTTATCAAATATCTGAAATAATGATTTTTGTTTTATTATAGGATGAGTTCTGTAGTTCTTAGGAAATACACATTTCTCTATATCCCAATAACAGTATAGAGAAAAAAATTAATTCCTATTTTATTTTTTAAAGATTTATTTATTTATGCATATAACATCTGTGGTACAGGCCAGAGGTGTGAGGGGTGAGAGGATTCACCAGAGATAGAGTAGGGAGCAGAACAGGCAGATCTACTGAAATACACTGCTGAGGGGAGCAGCGGGTTAGTTAGGAGAGGTCTGCTGTGCCATGTGGGTAGCTCCCTGGCAGGGGCTCAAACTCATGCTGCAGTGGCTGCGGATAGCATCATAGGTTGTGTCTTAACCCCTTGCACCACCAGGGAGGCCCTAATTTCTATTTTAGAGCAAGAAGATTTTTAATTTACCATTAAATACCAATGAATAAGTCCATGCAGATAATAATTAGAGTTGAGGGTTTATTTCAATGTAATTTTATATCCCCCTCATCCCCCCTATATATAATATTAATAAAAACTTTCTACAATGCAATATAAAATTCTCTGCTTTTCTATTATTTGTTTAGTACACAATTTAATTTTTCCTTCATGACAAGATTATGATTAAAGTTACTTATTTCTATGCTGCACTGAAGAACTAATGTTTGTCCTTCTGCTAAAAGGTATTTCACCAAAAAAATCACTTGAAAAGGGTTCTATGATGAAATAGGTTTTGGAATTAGTACATACTAAATATGCTACAAAGCTTTTCACAATGCATATTAGCATATTGAAATCTTTCTATTTACATTTGTAACATTGTAAAGATTTTTAAAACTTATTGTTTCTCAAATTTTTTGACCAATAAACACATTCATTAACACATCTATTAACTTCTGGGACTTTTCCTTAAAACAACTGTTTAAAAGCCACTACTCAGGATTACAGTACTACTTGAGTACATATGTCCACATTACAGTCTTGCCTCTCATTGTGAATTGTTTTCACTGTGAGTTCCTCTTGCTGACTGCGTGATTGATTTTACCAGTATTCTCTCTTCCACCTATAGATTACTGTTCCTAATCATGGCATACTGTAGACCCCTTTGAGAAATGAACAAGTCTTCTAAATCCCTGTATACCTTCTCATTGAAAATAAACATGCTATATGTGTTTAGTTTCAAAGATAAACAGAACCATCTCAAGTCCATCAGGGCTCTCTTTCAGGACTAGTTTCAGGACCATTTGTGTTATTAAAAGTGCAAATCCCCACGGCATCTCAAGATCCCTCTTAAGCAAGGACCCAGGTCAGTTTCCTGCACACAAATTTGAGATCACTACCTGGGGTGTCCAGGAACTCTAGTTAAAAACTAGAATGTCAAAAATCATTCTCAAGGCACCAGAAAACCTAGATTTTGGTCTTAGCAGCTCAACCAAAGAGGTTCATTGTGTAAAACCTTATGGTCAAAAAAATTACTGTATTTTTGAATGACTGAAAGAAATACAGAACACCTGTAGGAAGTTTCTAATAGCATTTCCTACACATTTGCTCTGGGGGATAAAAAAAAACCACACCCTCCTACCAAAACACCTAATAGTTGGAGTTCTTTATGCACATTCATCACAGATGTAAAATGATTTCCATGAAAACAGAGACTATATCCAGTTTATTCACCATAGTATCCCAGAACCCAGCATAATCCTTTCGAGAAAGTAGGTACTCAAAACAAACAAACAAACAAAAAAAAAAATTGGTTAAAAAATGTTGGAAGTTACATGAGTCCTAGAAATAACTAGATTTAACCCAGAAATGACAAGGCTTTATACCTTATCCTGAAATGCATTCTTCAAAAGCAATAAATATCCAGAAGACATAAATAAGATAGATAGCTATATAGATAGATAGATATTCTTTAGTATTTTGAAGAAATTGATTGGAAGATTATTTCTAATGTAGAAAATGTGCACAAAAGGGTATATATTTGTAGAAAATGTGCATAAAAGGGTGTTAGAGCATACTTAAACAATTGATTCTAAAATACAGTCTTTATGTGTTTAAAAAATACAATTTATTTATTTATTTATTTATTTGTTTGTTTGTTTGTTTGTTTTGTGGGACCCTCACCGGTGGGGCAGCCTCACAGCCCAGCGCTTAACCGCTGCACCACTAGGGGAGGACCAAAAAATACAATTATATTTAGAAGAAAAATTTCACCATGAAAAAATATGCACGGCTATTCATAGAACTTGTGTTCTAAAATTAGTCTTTCACTTCCTCTTCTTTTTTTGTGCATATATATGTTTACCTACATATATATATGTAGATCATATTTATCATTCATAAAGAATATGACTACACTACTGTTACCTCAATAAAAATATATTCCTAAAAACTTAATACTTAAGACTATAAACTTGGAGGTGTTTTCCACTTAGTGATTCATGACTCATAGTTAGAATATTAGCTCCATTCTCTTGTAGCAATTTTTAAAACATTGAAAATAGATCTTGAGTGACATAAGAGCTCCTCACATTTGATCCACAACAATGTGGCATTTGGAATAAATATCAAAGTCCAGCTAAATCAGACAAAACATAAAAATGCTGGTAGTGGCTAAAAGTACACATATTACTTTCCAAACCATTAGCAACAGAATTCTTGTCAGTAATAGCATTAAGATATAGGAGAAAATGAGAAGCTAGAAAATCAGATAACCTGAAGCTGGTGGATCAGTATAATGGGATAAAAGGTGCACATTTAGTTTTCCCCAGAAAAACGAACACTAGCTACCCTATGATTGACTGTAAATGGATCCATTTTCAGGGAGGAGTATTCTCAGTGCCACCAGACAAGTGATGTAAAAAAGAGGTGACATACAAAAGGTTTTGAAAGTCTCATTATTCCAGACGAAATTCATGACATAATCCGAATGGAATATATTTGTTCCAGCAAAGAGAACTT